AGTCTTTAAGACAAAAGACTTGAGAAACAAAAAAACAGAACCTTATTTTTACTACCCACGGCTTACAATACAAGTCTTTAGACAAAGACATGTCAGTTAAAAAACCCACACCTAACAAGTCTTTAATCAAAAGACACATAAGACATGTCATGTTAAAAGACCAACGGCTTAAAAGTCTTTACCACACCCACGGCTTACAAGTCTTTAGACAAAGACTGCATATCAAAAAACAGATCCTTATTTCACTGCCCACGGCTTGCATATAGATCTTTGGACAAAGACGTATAAGGCATGTCAGTTAAAAAGACCCACGGCTTACAAGTCTTTAGACAAAGATATATAATAAATGTCAGTTTACTTTGGAAGGATATAACAAACCAACGGTTTAAGAAAGTCTAAGTCAAAGACTACACATGGGTTACAAAGAGTTGTAGAATGGAAAAAAACTACCCATGGGTTTGATTTTAGAATGCGGCTTAGATAAAGACTATGTGAACCGAGAACCATTTGGATGGGAATAACGACCCAATGGTTACAAGGTCTTTAAATATCCAGGCTTAAAATAGTCTTACGACAAGGGACTCTACTTACTTACCCACAGCTTGAAAAGATTTGTTTTTGATTATTTGGATGGAATGGAGTATAACGACCAAGGAGGGTTTAAGAAAGTCTTTAAGACAAAGACTAAATATCAAAAACAGATCATTATTTCAATACCCACGGCTTACATACAAGTCTCTAGACAAAGACATCTAAGGCATGTCATTTAATAAGACCCACGGCTTACAAGTCTTTAGAGTTTAGACAAAGACATATAAGACATCTCAACTAAAAACCCACAGTTTAGAAGTCTTTTTGTACCCACGGCTTAAGGAAATCTGTTTTGATTACGACCTGTTTCTTGCAAGTCTTACAAAGACTACAAATTAAAAACAGATTCCTTATTTTGTTACACGCGCTTACAAAAGTCTTAAGACACATACTTACAAAAGTAAAAGTAAACTATGTGTCTTTAAGACAGAAGACTAAAATCAAAAACAGATCCTTGTTTTACTTACCCACGGCTTATAGAAAATCTAATTGAGGGAATGGGAGTTTAACGATCAAGGGTTTAAGAAAGTCTTTGAGACAAAAGACTTGAGAATTCAAAAACAGACCCTTATTTTACTACTACCCACGGCTTATATAGACAAGACATGTCAGTTACCCACAGCTTAAAAGTCTTTACTACCCACGGCTTACAAGTCTCTAGACAAAGACTGCATAACAAAAACAACAGATCGTTATTTCACACCCCACGGCTTACACATAAGTCTTTGACAAAGACGTACAAGGCATGTCAATAAAAGACCCACGGCTTACAAGTCTTAAACAAAGATATATAAGACATGTCAGTTAAAAAGACCCACGGCTTACATACAACTCGTTAGACAAAGACATCTAAGGCATGTTAGTTAAAAAGTTTACAAGTCTTTAGAGTTTAGACAAAGACAGATAAGACATGTCAATTAAAAGACCCACAGTTTAAAATTCTTGACTACCCACGGCTTAAGAAAATCTGTTTTTGATTATTTGGATGGAATGGAGTATAAAGATGAACACCTGCTAGTCTTACAAAGACTACAAATTAAAAACAGATTCCTTATTTTGTCACCCACGGCTTACAAAAGTCTTAAGACACAGACTTACAAAAGTACAGGTATTAAGACAAAGACATAAGACATGTCAGTTCAAAGTCCCACAGTTTAAAAGTCCTTACCACCCACGGCTTAGAAGTCTTTACTACCCACGGCTTACATATAAAGTCTTTAGACAAAGACATATAAGACATGTCAGTTTACTTTGGACAGGAATAACAATCCACGAGTATAAAAACCAACGGTTTAAGGAAGTCTCAAGTCAAAGACTACACATGGGTTTCAAAGACTTGTAGAATGGAAAAAAAACCTACCCATGGGTTTGATGTTAGAATGCGACTTAGATAAAGAAAATGTGAACCGAGAACCATTTGTATGGGAATAACACGACCAAATGGTTACAAAGTCTTCAAATATCCAGTCATGTAAGTAAAGACTAATTAATTTAACTTTTTTTCAGGTTTGTGCTTAGGAGGTCTGAGGAGATTGCAACTGTAGCAGACTTCTGTGATAGGTAAGTCTTATGGCAAAGAAATAATCATTTTTCTACTACAAAGATTTGAAGTGGTTTGTTGAATGGAAAACGACCAACAACTTCAATATACTACAAATCATATGTGATTCTTTACTTTACCACATGTACTATATAGCGACATAGAGACTGTTCAAATTTTAAAAACCGATCCAAGATTTAGGCACTAGAAGGAACATGGTAAGCATGAGGCATATGCTTTCATGTAAGTAAAAACTGATTAATTTGATTTTTTTTTTCTTTCAGGTTTGTGCTTTAGGAGGTCTGAGGAGATTGCAAGTGTAGCGGACTTCTGTGGCAGGTAGTACATCTCTTTGAATTAGTTTGAGTCTCACGTAGATATATATTTATGAAGGTATGTGAGACTTCTGTGGTTTATATGTCTGAGAAACTTTTTATTTGCGTTATAACCCTTCGTGATCACATATAGTCACGTTCCTGTAATTTTATAATTTAATTTTGGTTGTTGTATGAGTGTATATTTTGCATTATGCATCATGTCTTTACAGTTCTGGATTCTGCCTTCTGCATTCTGATGTTTGCATTCTGCATCATGTATTTACAGTTTTGGATTCTGCCTTCTGCATTCTGATGTTTGCATTCTGCATCATGTATTTACAGTTCTGGATTCTGCATCATGTCCATTCAGCATATGTCCTGAAATTCTGGATCATGTCTTTGCAATCTTATAGTTAAATTTGTATGTCTGAGAAATTCTATCATTCTGCGTCATAGTTTATATATACTCCTGATTATTGTAATATATTATCTAAGTGCTATTTACATGAGTATTTATACACTGATCAACAAATAGATTTGGTTGTGGTACTAGTGAAATAAACATATCATTATTTACATATAATGATTATAATTTACGGTTCTGGATTCTGCATGTCCTCAAATTCTGCATCATGGATCATGTCTTTGCAATCTCATAGTTAAATTTGTTTGTCTGAGAAATTCTGTCATTCTGCATCATAGTTTATATATACCCTGATTATTGTAACTAGAGCTCTTAACTGCGCGCGGTTTATACTTTATAATTTATAAATTTATAAATTTATCATTTATACTATTATGTAAATTTTTTTGTTTAAGTTTATATTTTTATTTTTTTCCCCAAAATTTGGAGTAGGTCTTGTTAAAAAAAATATTTTTACCACAAATTTTATGATATTGTAAATTTATAATTCATGAAACTTAGAAATTAGTAGAATAAATTAGGTTGATGTTATTTTCTTGTTTTAGTGGCTAATAATTTCGTGATATGTTAATATTAGTAGAATAATTTCGTTTTGTATTTTAATGTTTTTAACTATCATTTGAAAGCTTCAAATAATTATTATGAAATTAATATTAGGGTGAGTATTAATTCCCATGCATTGTTTCGATTAGTTTTATAATATATTAGATATAGTTAGTTAATGTGGTCTTTTATCTATATATATTTTACGATTATTGTTTTGTACCAACACTTTTCCGCTCAATAATTTGGTGAAAGTATCTATTTTCATCTTATATAGTTAGTTATTCAATGTAGACCTATGATAAAAACAGTTGCCTTCATTTTTGGTTTGTTCCTTATATGTGATGTTCTCAGTAACTTTTTCCATATGTTTAATTATACATTAAGTTTGTTAATTATTGTTGTCCAAGATTTTTTCCTATTTATATGTTTTCTCTAGTCCTTTTTATATGTTCAGTTATATACTCAATGTTTTATTATTGTTGTTTCCACTTTAGTTCTCTACGATCTCCTTCTCCGTACTTCTTATATAGATCTTAGTATGTGTTATTATATTGATATTGATTTTATTTCTTAAGACATCATCTTGTTATGTTAGTTGAATTAGTTACATGATTTCTAAAATTTTGTTTTTCAATTTTCATGAAATTTATATTTTTAGTTACTTATTTAAATATTTAAGTTAATTTTAAATAATTGACATTGATATTAAGTTGATTTTACTTGTCTTTTGGCTAGTGATTTTATATTGATTATATCATCACATTGACAAAAAATAAATCAAAAGTTTAATATTTCAAAAGTTTTTTTCTGTTAGATAAGTTTTTTTTCATTGTTTGATTGGTCATGTTTAAAATTCTGTTTTTCTTTTCAAATTCGCAGCTATAATAGATAGATCCCTACCGTTCGTTATATGCTAAAATAAATAGAGATATTGTGGTGTTTATTCATGAGATATAAATTAAGATTTTATAATATTTAAATTGTCAATGATATTCGTTTTTATGGCTTTTTAAATGTTGTAAATTATTTTATAATAACATAAATAAAATGCTATAGTTAAAGATAAAATATTAAAAATTAATTAAATTAGTTAATTAAAATTAATTAAACACTTATTGTCATCAACGGAAAGTTTGTTATAATCCCTAAAAGAATCCAATTGCCTTAGCTATTTATGCTATTACAGATTGTTAATAACGTGCATACCAATAGACGTACATATCTTTTGGAAAATTTCATGTTCTTCACTAGGAAAACGTCAACTTGAATCAATATTTTAATGAAATACAAAACCAAATTGATTGACTGCAGGAAATATTGAGACTTTAGTTCTAGATTAAAAACATGTCAAGGTTAGAACTACTGCGATGTCTTGTTTGTTCTTGTAAACTTCTTGGAGCAATAATCTTGTTTTAGCAGCAAAATCAATCAGAGAAACACCTCTTACAATTATCTTCTGTTTCAGCTCACTGTTATACTCTTGTTAAGAAACACTAACACAGAAGAGATGAGACGACCACCTAGCTTCTTTCATTTTTGTCTGAAACTCATTCACTTCACCTTCCTGGAGAAAACAAAAAATAATAACACATGTTAGATCAAGAACCTGGAGGGTTAAGAAAATTCTTAGTCGTCGTATATAGTTTTATTATTCTAACCTTTGACTTTAGCATGTTGAGTTCATCAGCTGTGCATCCAATCATCTTCTCTGCTTCAGCGTTGAATGCAGAAAACCAGACTTCACCAATTGAATGAGACTTTCACTGCCATTATGTATCTAATCACCTCATCAAGCAACACAATTAAAGAAAAAAAAAATCCAAATCTCTGTTGTTGAGTGGAAATGTTTATGAATCTCAGTATCATCACACCTTAAACAACATTCTTCATCCTTTCTCTGACGTACTTTGCACTACTAACCAGTGTCCATTGCTTCAGTCACTTTCTTGTTACGGATTTTGCAGGCACGGTACCACATTGCCTGATCTGGCTTGATGAAGCCTATGTAAGGTCTAGTACTGAAGAAAACAGGCTCACATAAACCAACTTTTCTTCCTCCTTAGATATTAATGAGTAGACGTGTTAGAAGTATTGTTTCCTCGCTTAAAGAGGGGTTGGTTGGGAAGTGAGAGAGACAGAATCTGTCAGAATACATGGACCTTGATTCATTGTTGACAGAGGGGCTCATCCCAGAGACAATAACAGACATATATGTCTCTTTACCTTCAGAATCATACCAAGATTTCAACTTTGCAGCTGCTTGTGAATCAAGATTTACCACCACATTGCTTTTTGCTGAAAGTGGATATTCTCCTCATCAAGATTTACCACCACATTTACCACCACATCAAGATTTACCACCACATTGATTTCAACTTCCAAAACAGAAACCTACTCATAGGAGTTGATATTCTCCTTATAGACTCAAAAGTATTCTCCAAATTAAATTATTCTAATCCATAATCTTTTGGGTTTTAAATGACTTTTTTGGTCCAATTGATTTTAAATATTCAAAATTATATAATCCCAAAATTATATAAAAATATATTAATTTTTTTATAATATTTTTAATTAAAAATAACTTTAATTGACTAATAATAATGTTATACTTAAAATATAGTTTTTAAAAAGCTTTCAAATATAGTTTGAAGAACATAATCGGTGATGAAATTAATTTCTTAAATTAGATTTTTATTTAAAACTTCGTTTTTTTTTAAACATAATGAGTTATAAATATCAAAAGTTGGGTAATAATAATCATGAAGACGGAAATATAAATATTTAATTTTCAAGTAATAAATCCAACTTTTTATTCAATTATCAGTATATAATATCTTACATTGTTTTAAAATTATACATAAATTATATAAATTTCCAAACTTAAATTATTATATTATATATATAATGTTGTTAAATAAAAATATTTTAAGCAATTTTTGTGAAATTAAAAACAATTGTTATTTACATATAATGATTAAATGTATATTATACTATCATTTGACATGTATTAGATAAATTTTGATATAGAGTTATTTCATATTTTTAGAAAACAATAAATGGTTAAGTATCATATCATTGATGTTAATCTTGATCATATAAGACAACACAAATTCAAATATCACAAAAAATACTCACATAATTTTACAATATGATAATTTTAATTTTAATAACATACAATTCAATATACAATGTTCTTTGTTTTAACATTTTTTTTAACACTTAAAATATAATTTTCAAAATAATAGGTAATATTTTTGAAAATCAAAGATGGTCTGCGTGTAGCACGGATTGATTCCTAATAACCAACAAAAGTTAACCTATAATGAAAAGTACGAAATATCCTAGCTAAACTATCAACTTTCCAATTTTGCTCTTTTGGTCTATGGAAAATCGAAAAGACTTGGAAATCTTCTTTGAAGCTCTGTGAGCTGAATTTATAATGTGTGACCACGACCCAAAAACAATTAAAGAAAGACTTACGCGTCTAGTTGGGCTTAAATATAAAAACATGTAGGCCCACGAATCGAATATTGACAAGTCGCCACGTCATCGGGTTCCTTGCTTCTTTCTACCTTTTTATCGTCTTCTTCCCCCAAACCCAGAGAAAGAGAGAGAGAGAGATCAGAAGCAAAGGATAATCCAATTACAACAATCTGCAAAATTCTTATTTTCTTTCGATTCAAAGATCACTCCATCACTGTTCATATTTGTCTAATTCAATAGCCTTGAAATTCGCAGCTGAATTTGAACATTAGGCATTATTGTTGTTCAATCAATCAAGTAAAGAGGTAAGAAGATGATTCATTGGGGTGGAGTAACCTGCTGCCTAAGCGCCGCCGCTCTTTATCTTCTCGGCCGGAGTAGCGGAAGGGACGCTGAAGTACTCAAAACCGTCACTAGGGTTAACCAACTCAAGGAATTAGGTTATCTTCTCCCCCCTAATTGCTTCATCCACTCTCTCTTTTTTTTTTTGTCTGATTGAATGATTTGTATTTGCAGCGCAATTGCTAGAGCTAGATAGCAGCAAGCTGCTGCCTTTCATTGTGGCCGTATCAGGAAGAGTTGGCTCTGACACACCTATCAAGTGCGAGCATAGTGGCATACGTGGCGTTATCGTCGAGGAAACGGTAAATGTGTACTGATAATCTTGTTTTGTCAGTTAGGTGTTATGTGAAACTATAGCAATTTTTTGATTGATGTGTTTCAGGCGGAGCAACATTTTCTGAAACACAATGAGACTGGTTCTTGGGTACAAGATAGTGCATTGATGCTATCTATGAGCAAGGAGGTTCCTTGGTTCCTCGTAAGTCGAATATAGTTGCTTACTCTTTTGCTGATGTGATTGGATGTTTCTTAAAAACCATCTCTCACATTTTTCTAAATTGTTTTGTGAATAGGATGATGGGACGAGTCGTGTGAATGTAATGGGTGCTCGTGGTGCAACAGGCTTTGCCTTAACTGTTGGTAGTGAAGTCTTTGAAGAGTCAGGGCGGTCTCTTGTACGAGGAACACTTGATTATCTCCAAGGCCTTAAGGTATTTTGCTTTTCTTTAGGATTCTTTATTTCTTGGCCTTTTTATTTGCATAAGCGGCCAACTTTTTTTTTATGGTTTTAGATGCTTGGAGTAAAGCGCATTGAGCGTGTTCTTCCTACTGGAATGCCTCTAACTATTGTTGGTGAGGTATGTCGTATTCTTAGTGCGTTCTTTTTTTTTGTTTCATCTCTTTTGCCTAAGTTGTTGTATGAAAATTTCTCAGAAAGAGTTACTGGATCGATCTTTCTACAGAAGCATACTGATGAGTTTGAATCTTATTTCTGTTGCTGGCATGTATGACAGGCTGTCAAGGACGATATTGGAGACCTCAGGATTCAGAAACCTGAAAGAGGGCCTTTCTACGTCTCTCCTAAATCACTCGATCAGCTCATTTCTAATTTGGGAAAATGGTCAAGGTCCTGTCTCTTTCTCCTCTCTCGGTTCTTCTCCTATACTCTTGCAGGAAAAAACCGATGAGCCAAACTGATTGAGAAGAGTCTTATTTTACAGGTGGTACAAGTATGCCTCCATGGGCTTAACTGTTTTTGGTGTGTTTCTAATTACAAAGCATGTCATTGATCATGTTCTAGAGAGAAGACGCGCGCGAGAGTTACAGAAAAGGTATTCTCACATATTTATCCTTCTAGAAAGTGAATAGTTGTCCTCAACTATATGAGAACTAGCCATCTAGGTCAGTTTTTTCCCCACACAAAATTAAGCAGTGTCAGCTGTTGTTGCAGAGTGCTTGATGCAGCAGCTAAGAGAGCTGAGGAGACTGAAGGTATCCATCTGTGAATCTTTTTTCTACTCAGAAACTAGTTTACACAGGTTCTGACCACAAAACGTTTCTCTGACCAGGTTCAAACGGGGATCATGAGAGCGTTTCAGATTCTACCAAGAAAGAAGGCGCTGTTCCTGATCTATGTGTGATCTGTCTAGAGCAGAACTACAACGCTGTGTTTGTCCCGTAAGCATTCTTCCGCTTCTTCGACTGTTTCTTACACTTGCAACTTGCTAAAAAAGAGCGTCTGTTGTTGGTACTTGTCGCAGGTGTGGTCATATGTGCTGCTGCACCGCATGCTCCTCCCATTTGAGTAGCTGTCCACTTTGCAGGAGACGAATAGATCAGGTGGTTAAGACATATCGCCACTGAACAAACACAACTCGGGGCTCAGAAGCATTCTCTACTCGTCTCTTGTCTGTAAATACCGCAAGATCAAAACGTTACAGTTCAGCGTTCGCTTATCCACTCTTGTTTGATTTCGATAACAATACATTTGAATTATAAAAACACATAAGGTGTTTGCTCGATTCACGAAACAGTACATTCTTTTTTAACTAATCTAGTCGCCGCCAGGTGTTGCAGCTTATTTTGTTTGAGTCTCCCTTACCTCCAGCTTGAATATATCTGTCTTCTTCCCGGCCCCAGCATACGAAATAATCAGCTCAATCTAGGGATTCGAGAAGACGCTACCGTTTTGCTCAATCAAGGGATTCAAAGAACCAAATTGATGAGTCCGGTTTCTTGTGAGATGAATTGATTCAAATCTAGACAAGGAATAGAGAAATTTCTAGTTTATTAAATATCAAAAGCTGTCTTTCATTGAAAGAGTACAAAGGAAAGTAACACTTTTATAAAAAATAAGTAAAACTAAAAAACCCAAACCCATATGTAGTTCGCTGTCCGAGTATAATGACGCTGCATCACTTTCCAACAACAAGCTTAGAGTGATTCTCAGCAAAGTGGAGAGATCTAAGCAAAGTTCAGCGTTGAGAGAAGAGTCATGAGACGGTTTGTTAGCTTGATCAAACTCAAGCCTTCGTCGTCTCTCGGTTTCCTCAGTCAACACCTGGACACCGCATTCAACAATGTCGAGCTCATGGTAAGTGCTGATGAATTCAAACATGATCTCATTGTCTTGTTCGAGCCATCCATGTTCGCTCTCCAATTCAGTGCAAAACAGACATAAATGTTCGGCCTGGATAAATTCGAGTTGCATGTACACGTTCCTGTAAATGAAGCAACCCTTGTTTATGCGCATGCGACACTGCAATTCGGTAGCATCTACTTCTGTCTGTGGTTCAGGGTCAACCACGATGCATAACCGAAATCTTCTGGAATCTGAACTCAGTGGTCGGATGGTCAACGAATTTCCTATAGCTCGATGATCAAACTCGGCAGGTATATTACTTCCGGGTAGGCATGCTTTCCATGACAACTGTGTAATTGCTCTCCTTGCTTCTCGGCCCAATTTGAAGCAGTTTACAAAATTGCAATATATGTCAGAGTCAATATCCAGAGACACGGTCTCCAGTGACTCACAGTTGTTTACTATTAGTCGTTCGAGAGAGTCAGGGAGCTCTGGCAGTGATGCAAGTTTCGAACAGTACTGTACATTAAGCGACTCTAACCCATGAAGATCTTTGATCCAACCTGGAAGTTCCTTGATACCGGCGTCATCCCCGTATATACTAAGACCCACTAGGGGAGACCAGAGGTTGACTGGTTCAGGCAAATCTTTCAACATTGTGTCTGCTATTACGAGTGCTCTGATGTTGGTGGAGAACTCTGGAAAGTTTCTCAATTGTGAGCATCCGTTCATATTGAGAAAAGCATCAGGTACCAAGTTGAAGCGAGTCGGAACAGCTTGTAGCTTCCCACAGAAACTCATATCCAACCAATATAATTTATCAAGATTTCCAATTGAGGAGGGAATTTCTGCCAAACTGGAGCAACCACACAAAAACAAAAACTCGAGATCTGCAGCTTTGGAAAGATCAGGGAGCTCCTTTAATTCCAAAGACCATGACAAATCCATCTTCCTTAGATTTGTAAGTGGCTGAACAACAAAGAGAAAATAGCATTAATACATGACGAGAAAGTACATATTTTCAAACGCATACAGTAAGCGGGTAAACATAGAAACCAACCTGAGTTCCAGCCCAAAGCTTCTCGAGCTTGCTAAACTGCATATCGAATTCGACAAGATATTCAGGATGAAATGTAGGGGGAAGACACTTGCTTGGGTATGCCTTCCAGTGTAGTAACCTTAGACGACGCGGAAACTCCGTCTCCTCAGGTATATGCACTATATCATTTCCATCATCTTTACTTTTGTGAACTCTGAGGAATCGAAGATTAGGCATTCTTTTAAAAGCTCTAGGGCCTATAGACACGTCCTCGATATCAGATATATCAAATGATATGCCGGACACTGCTCTGGTACCCTATACCAATATTCCAATTACTTAAATACTATATTACTAGCAAATTAAATACAGTATTTTGTTGCCTTGGTATAATTTCGTGAAAAAAGTACCCCCTTTCATTTCAATTGTGTAGTTGTAGAGAAAATTTTACTCCCTCATTTTTAATTTATTTGTCATTTTAAGTTTTTACACACAGATTAATGAAATATTTAATTTTACATATTTTCAAGATAAAAACGCAATTATCCATACAGCTAACCACTTTCCAACGAAGAGAAAATAGAATATTCTATAAAACTAATAAATTTTGCCTCGAAATTCTAAAACAACACTTAATTTGTGACAAAAATTAAATGGAGGGAATATTTGCTATAAAATTTTTATTTTTTTAATATTTGAAAGCAATTTATGTCATTAACTTATCTCTTTCACCCTACATGTACTAAAAAAAACAAAATCAGTAGAATTCTAATAGTTAAATAGGGCAAAACTGAAATATTTATCCTTATTAATTGGGGTGAAAAATCTCTAACAACATCTAATTTGAAATGTATGTAGTATATAACAAATACGAGAGAGAACTTACTTCGGCACGTTCAAGAACATCACAGATCTCTTGAGGATCAATTAAGATCTGCCGTTTCCAAGGCTCCTGTCTTTGAATGGCTTGTCTACCCACTTGTTGTAGTAAATTGTGCATCACTACATCGCCAGTGTTAAATACATGTATGAGTGATTTGTTTGCTAGGATTTTCAACCCGTATTTGATATCCAAGTTATTGTCAGCGAACATGGCTTCTACAAGATGACCATATTTAAAGTTGGAGAAGACTGCAATGTGGAGAAATAGAGATTTCTCATTCTCATGTAAACTCTCATAACCAACTCTTAGTACTTCTTCGATATCTTGATGATCAAGAATAGTTTCTAGCCTGCGTATTACTTCTTCCCATTCCTCTTCATTTTTCCCACGTAAAGAGGAACCCACCACACAGAGACCCAATGGAAGGCTACCACAAAGCTCTGTTACTATTTCGGCATGCTTTTCAAAACCATTAAGTGGATAGTTTTGTTTAAAAGCATACCTACATAAGATCTTAACTGCGTCTTCATAAGGTGGAAACCCCACATCGTATGTATTGTTGATGCCATGTTGCTGCAAAATCTCCTTGTTTTCTGTAATAACTACAATTCTGCTTCTAGGACCAAACCATGTCGTTTCACCAGCCAAAGCCTCTAGTTGCTTTAGATCATCCACATCATCAAGAATGATGAGCACTCTCAGGTCGCGGAGCCTTTCTTTTATTGCACCTAAATGGCTTATCCTAATACCACTTTGGTTCAAAACTTTTGTAAGGAATTCTTCTTGTAAGCGCAACTTCAAACCATACTCACCAAGACCACTATGATAACTTCCTCGAAGGTTGTCCACAAAACAAGTAAGCTGAAACCTATCTGCAAGTTGAATCTGCATAGCTCTGGCAATGGTAGTCTTACGAATACCAGCAGGACCAGAGATTGCAACCATTTTAACTCCATCATTATCTAAATCTAGCAAAGACTTCATTTCTCTCAAATGAGCTTCAAGTCCCACCATGCCATCAAAATCCCTAGACGGTGTTGCATTCAGTTTATCTGAAACATCTCTTGCAATCTTCTCGATCATTTCCGCTTCATTGTCCCTAACAAAAGAGTAAGAAAAGGCACTGTTTCCATCAAATGACCATGAGGAAAAATGTAAATAATGGGTTTGATTGGCAGAGGCTGTCGCTTTGAACTTTTTCTTGCTTTAGAATATAGTTTGCAAGTTTTTACATTTTAGCTTTAAATTCTATTGTTGTAACTTTATATCAATAACTTTCAAATCAGTAAAGTTGTATCTTTTTGTTTTCCATTCTAAGAGTTATGGGGTGATTGGAATGAGGTGTAATTTTATATTTTAGGTTGTAAATTTAATCTGTAGATTTATTTGTTGTAAATTCTTTTGATGTAACTTTGTAAAGTACTATTTTTTACTCTAGAAATAAAGTTTTCTACAATCACTCTTTAATTTTCTAGAAACTGTTTGCCTGTATTTTTTTTTTTTAAAAGGATGGTTATTGGGTAAATTTTGACTGTTTAAAGCATTTATAACTACAATCAATCACCTTTTAGACTTTAGATATTTAGTTGTGCCTTTAAATTTTCCTTCCGCAGATTTTTTTTTCCAAAGTACTGAACAAAAATTATATTGAAATTGATTTCTAAAGCTAACATATTTCTTCTTATAAGGTTTTGGCTGTTGATTCAAATTTTAAAAGTAAAACATGAATAGATGATTGTATTGAAAAAGATAGGGAATAATTTTAGTCTGAGTGTTTTAAAAGTAAAACATGAATGTTTCAAAAGAAGATCCAAAACCAATATACTTTAATTTTTGGGTATGGATTGTAGCTTTCAATTATTTTCTTAAAGCTTTCGTAAAGGCAGTAGAACAAAAATGAACAGTGGAAAATACTTAAACCACTCTTCTCGCGGGTTTTATCGCGTCGCTTAAGTGGGAGGGGTTCACAGTGGCGTTAAAAACGGGTTTCAGCGTGTCTAGATAAGAGGCGTTTGACTATGGGTATTTTCACTGTTCGCGGGTCCATGAACACGTGACGGCCCGCAATTGATTCATTTTTTAAAAATTTGGATAAAAAAAATAAAATTTAAACCCTTTTTTGAAGATTTGCGATAATCCTGCTCTTAAGGAAGTTACCAATCACCCCCAATGTTTCTATTTTACCAATATCTATGACATGTATTTATGATATTTACTTGTCCAGCAATAAAAGTCTCCTAATCATTTTAATTGTTGACAAAAAAAATCATTTTAGTTCTATTTACCTTAACCCCTCATTTATTTATTAAATATTGTTATTTTATTAACTGTATATAAAGTTTGAGCTATCAAATTTCAAATTTGTTAAGTTTTAATATATATATATATATATATGTTTATAATTTTTCATTTTAATATCAATAGTATTGATAAACTATTAAAATAATAGGATAAGTATGTGTGAATTAAATGAATTATTAGTATTAGTTTAATATATTTTGCTGATATGCATGCCCTAGTTATATATATTTGCCTATTTTTAATAAGTATAATTTAAAAGAGCAAACCAGTTAAGAAAGTGTTCCCCAGCTATATTGCCAACATCGTTCAAAGCTTGGTTCCATATTCGCCGCCTTTCTTCTGGTTTTGGAGCACAAGTTTCATTGAAAGCGATCCCAAAATCTCCTGTCCCTTTCCGAACATGAGATGGATCTACTCCGTGGAAGACCGTCATCACTATTTGCCCAGTTTCTTCCCTGCAATTCAAAATCTCCACCAGCTCATCCAAACACCAGCTGGAAGAAGCATAGTTCTTTGAGAGCACCACGATCGAGATCCTCGCATCTCTAATGGCTTGCATGAGAGCAGAGCCAATGATTTGACTTCTCTCGATCCCTTGATCATCGAACATGGTAATCCCATTTCGATTGAACTGTTTTCGTAAATGACTGAGAAAGGTTTTACGGACGTCTGGTCCATGGAAGCTCGTGAAGACGCCATATCTCCAGGTCCGAGGCGAAGAAGAAGAGGAAGAAACCATGAGAAAGGATCGTGAGTGTTTTAAGGGCACAGGTACACAGAGATGTGTTCGGGGAAGCCTTAAATAACAGGAGGAAATAGAAAGCGCGTAGTCTCTCACTGTTGAGAGAGATGGAAGTTTCTTCCTCTTCGGAAAGTAAAGTAAAACGGGTGAACTACATAAATAATTATGAGGGTATCTTTTTTACCAAAAATAATAGTAAAAATATGAAAAGAAAGAAGAAAGAAACAGTAGAATCTTTCATTTGCATTATTTTTACATATTAAACATAAACATGTTTTCTTTCTTGCTTTGCTAGAATATTTTATTTAGTGGAAATGGACACGTATGATTTCTGAAGATATTATATTCTTTCGTCATAATAATCAATTATCTAATATGATCTCTTTCACATTTATTCAGATATTCGGTATTCGGATATCTGAAAATCTTTAGGTTTTTAACTCGATATCGGTTCAATTCATAAAAAGGTTAAAACTAAATAAAATTCTAGAATGATATAAAAATAATATACTACTACAAAATAAAAGTTATTTACCTTACAAGACCTTAATAACCAAATATTAAATTTAATAAATAAATATGTTGTCAAACATATATATAATATAATAATTATATAGTCATAAAACCTAATATATGATTTTTGAGATGTTATATTTTTTTATGATCAATTGTCTGTATATTTCACATTTCTTCGGAAATATTCGGTGTTCAGATGAATTTTTTTATAGATTTTTGATTGGGTATAAAAGATAGAAAAATAAAAACTAAAAATAATGATATCTATTATTTCCCTATATGCGTACTCCTTTTAACTATTTTATTAACTGATTCTTTCCAAATAATTCGACATAACTTACCTATTTTAAGTGTTTTATTTTATTTTTACATTATTTTCATTTTTCAAACTATTTTATTATTTGTATTTACCACAAGATTCGATGTCAATTATTTTACGTGTTAATCATAATAATTTCACATGTTTGAATGAAACTATTCATTAATACAAGAATTCAAACCGGTTAACAAAAAATTATTCTTTTTACATAATTAGATAAACATGTGCATTCAAGTACACACTCGGATACAAAGCGTTTTTCAGGTATCAGATGTTTTATATTTTAACATTTATTCGGATATTATAAATTTGATGGGATTCGAGTCAGATTCTTTCCGATCCGGATATCTTCGTAAAGTTGAAAAGCAAATACGAAAAAATGTAAGCACTGATGGAAAAATAATGCACCATCATATATTAGCAAAAAAAAAAACAATGAAAAAAAAGAATTTAAAAGCAAACAAAAAAACTAATTGACCCATATGTTCACTTAAAATCAGCTGTTTTAGGCCCATATGTTCACGTGCTTAGATAGCAGGGTTCTGAGGCTGATCTAGGGCTGTCTCGGATCTACTTTGCCTTGAATGCAGTGGCAGAACCAGAAATATTTTTACTGGGTTCATAATATAAATTAAGATATTAAATTATTTGATAATATAATCTATTAAAATAATTTTAAAGTATTATTATATAGACCATTAGGGATTAGAAAGGTGTTTTAATCGTAAATAGATATTATTTTTTTAATAATAAAGTATAGTTACAATTTTGTTTATTAATGAGATAGTAATTAAATAGAAAAAATAAATGTTTTTCATTAAAGTTCATGATTTGATTGCATATAGTCTCATAATAACATTATTATTACACATAATAGTACACAATATTACATCAATCAACAAAATATTACACTTTATAATATACTAGATAAGGCCCATATGTTGTAACGGGTTTTGTTTGATGTTTTAATTTAATAAAAAACATAAAAATAATAAATAATTTAATTATAGATTTAGGGTTCTTTTAGTATAAGTTGTGTGAGATTTATTTATAGTTACAAACTCATTAATAAAATTATGATTATTACCATATAAATCGTATGAAATCTTTCAGTTGGGCAAAATCTTCACAGTTTCGAAAAGAAAATTTTCAAGAGTTGTTTGAGGTAATTGT